ATGCAACCGTTTGACCTTCCACTGCCCCCCTGCCCCCCCGGCTGCCAGGAAGGCAGAGGCGAGCCGGAGCACGGACTGCCACCCCGGAGGCTGGTCAGCACAGACCTCCTCAACACCTGCTCCCAGACCCCGGGGCACAGCCAGACACTGCCACCTCCCAGGCAGACAGACACAGTAGAGCTTCAATCTCAAGAGACAAGGCAGCAGGAGGGAGACATTTGCCTCCGGGCTGCCAGGCTTTCTCCAGAAGCTGGGGAAAACCAGCCTTATCTTTCCCTGCCTGCCCTGTCCCCGGCTGTTTCTAAAGCTCTCCCTACATACTGGGACTATCTTTTCTGCAAAGCACGAAGTTGTCCATTAGTGCTGCACAAGGCAGGGCTGGAGGAAGGGTGGTTGCTCACCTTCTCGTTCTCTCTGTATTCGAGGTGGACGGAGTGGTGAGCCATGCAGAGGATGGTGAGGATGAAATAGATGAGGGCGAAGATGCTGTGCAGCCACAGGAGACGGTCCCTGGAGGAGGGGAAGAGGAGATTGGCGAGCACTGCAGTGGACGCATGGCACGTGGACCAGCCTGCCGCTCAGCACCTCACCCACAGCCACCCCCACCGCCCAGCAGGACCTCCCCAAGCCGGCTGCTGGACCCCCGCCCCAGGGACGAGAGGGGCAGCATCCAGGGTGTTGTCCGAGATACTGCAGAAATGAGGCCACCCAGAACCTCTGAGAGCACCTCTGCCGGCAGCAGGGTGCAGCGAGCAGTGCCAGCAGGCTGCCTACTGCAACGGTGCTCGTGCACAGTGCGGACAGACATGGGGGCTACCACGAGCAGCATGCTGCTCACGTGGACCTGTCCCCATTCTGGGACTGTGGTGAGTGCCATTCCTGGCCACTCCCAGCAGTGCCCGCTGCAGCAGCAGTGCCCACAGCCCCCCCTGGACACAGGAGCCACGTACTGTGTTGGGATGTTGGCGATGGTTGTCCGGCCGAAGTGGGTGGGATTGTGTCCTGCAGGGGAAGAGAAGCAGGAGGTTATGGGAACCCAGTGCAGCATGTGTGTCCATGCTTGCAGGGTTAGTGACTCTGGTCTTTGCTCTTTTCCATCTCCCGGGTCCCTGCCAAGCCCCCGTCACCCTGAAGCCCCCGCCTCCTGCGTTCCTCTGTCCCACAACTGGTGGTGGGTTCCTGCTCACACTGGGGCTCCTGATGGCGGGGTCCTTCTGCCGTCTGTCCCCAGGGCAGGGTGCTCACCTGAGGATGGAGAAGCTTGTGCCATGCTCCTGAGCCCTCCCGCAACTGGGGAAGCACCTACCCAGGAGGTCCCCCGAGAAGTTGACGGGCAGGATGACGGCCACGGAGAGCACACAGACCAGCATCAGCAGGACCAGGAGGTGCCGCTGGAAGGAGAGGTAGGTGGTGGCGTCGATCCCACACTTGCTCTGAATCTCCTCGTCCCCCCTTGCTCTGAGTCTCCTCGTCCCTGGGGGAGAGGCGGGTGGGGGTGAGCGCTGGTGGTGCCTCCCCACCACCTCCCGCCCCAGGGACACTGGCTGGTCCGGCCTCCCCCAACCCACGCCAACTCATGGCATCCTGCCTGTGACATGTGGGATTTGGGCACAGAAGGAATGGGGGATGCAAGCAGCCCTCAGGCTGCCATCCCACTAAGGGACCAGCTCCTATCAGAAGAGGTTGAAGCCCATTCCTTTGGGACAGGAGCCAGGGGCCAGGAGGAAACACAGAGGTGAGCCCTCTGCTCTCTCTCCCAGGGGATATTTTAGGAGGGCTCTCCTCAGCTGCCAGTTCCAGCAGCTCTGGGTGATGCATGACCACCTACGGGCACCGGCTCCCCAGGGGCGGGCAGTGGTGGGGCACAGCTGCAATGCTGAGGACACACACTTACTTCATCTGGTAGATAGAAATGAGCCAGGAGCAGAATCCCTGGAAGGGAAGAGAGTTGGGATGAGCCAGGGGCGGCCACCTCCACCTCTCCGGCGAGGAGCCAGGACATGGCACGCATTGGGGATGTGTGCAGAGATGGTGCTGTGCCTGGGGCTGGGGGGCTGAGCAAACGGAGGCAGCACGCAGGGCAGCTCGGCGATGCTCAGCCCAGCAGCTTGTCTGCAGTGGTGGCCAAAGGCGCTGCCTCAGGAGAAGCAGGAAACACAGGGCATCTCTGTAACACAGGCTCCTGGCTTCCAGCAGCTTCCTCCTCTGTGCTTTCCCTGACGGTCCCTAACATGCAATGTGCTTTTTTGACCACTACCAAGCGCTGAGCCGGCACTGCCATAAAGCAATATATGACAATGCCAAGATCTTGTGTAATAGCTCATTCCCTGTCACTGCATATGCAATATTAGAGTTTTTCTCCTCTATGTATTATGTTACATTTTACCAACGCTGGAGTTCATGCAAGTTCAAGGTCCCTCTGCAGTCTTCCCTGTCATGGCTGTACCGAATAACACTTGGCCATCAGGCCCCTCCTCTTCACCTCCTTTCCAGAGGGTTTATGCTGACCTTGGACGGGAGGGACCCTGGGCAGCCCCCTGTGGGATTCCCTTACCCTGCCCCATGAGAGCTGGCACCTTCTTCCTCCTCTTTAATCCCCAGCTTTATCCAAGCCAGGACCTTCCCTCCTACCCCACAGCTCAGCTTTGTCTGATTGACCGCAGTGGGAGGCTTTGGATGTGCAGGCATCCCCACGTGCCTGACAGCTCCGCAGGGGTCGGACACCCTGCTAGCACAGCTGGGCTGACTCCCCTCCTATGCCCCGCTCCGGGGCTCTGCTCTGGAGAACCATGTCTGGGAAGTTCTCCACGCAGACCCCAAGCTCCCTGGCCTGTAATTTCTTGGGTTTTCCAGAAACCCTCCTGAAAAACCAGCATTTATCAGCTGATTCCCAGCTCTCTAGGATGCCCATGTGCAGGAGAGAGGTTGCATGCTGCAGTCAATAGCTTGGCTATTCGTCTCGGGGAGAGTGAGGAGTCCCATGCCTGCTCCTGGGAATTTGTGATGGTAATGGGAATTTGTCAGGCTGCTTTTATTGCAACCTCATCCTTCAACCCTGCTGTTGGAGGGATGCTCTGGTGCTTCCCCGCAGAGAAGGGCTCCTGGACAAGAATTTGGTCGAGATCCTCCTCACTGGATACAGGCAACAAAACTTTATTTAGCTCTCCTGCCATATTCTTGCCTTCTCCAGCAAGCATTTTCTATCTTCACCACCTATCGGCCCTACAAACCCTCTGGCAGGTTTCCTGTTCCTGATGTGTGAAGAAAAATCCAGTAGTTGCTTTTATGCTCTCTACAAATTTCTCCTCAAACTCTTCTTCCTTCCCACCTTAGTGCCTTTTACATCTAACCTGGCAGAGTTTAGATTTTCCTCATTTGGGAACAGCTTGACTTTTAAAAAGGTGTCTTCTTACATCTAATAATCTCCCTTAATCCGCTCTTTAGCAGTGCTGGCATTCCCTGTGGTCTTTCTTACTTATTTTTTGATGAGCAATATATATTTGCCCAGAGCATCCAGTACTGAGCCTTTAAACAGGCCTCCTGCCACCTGCAAGGATTTTGCTTCTTTACCTTTCCTGCCTAGTTTTTTTTTTTAAGAATTTCTGTCATTTTTTTCATAGTCACACCAGTGACTGATTTTTGAGCTTTTGTTGCCAAAAAAGAGAAAGAAACAGACAGAAAAATGTGTCAGTCCATGCTCATTTCCAGCAAAACCTGGTTTGTGCCTGGTGTGGTGGAGGGAAACAAAAGATGGCTTTAAAGCCCCCACAGCCCACCATGCCAGCAGAGGTGGAGGTGTGATCCAGGGGACTCTGTCCTGCCGGAGCCAGAAAAATCCCTGTGGGCATGCAGAGCAAGGCTCTGGCCACGCATCCAACTAGGTCCCCGCAGCCGGCAGGGACAGCCATGCAGCCAGGAGATGCTCGCCCTGGTGGGAGCATCCCCTCCGAGCTGCCATTCAAGGTAGATGCCTCAAACCAAGCCAGCACAAAGAAACCCTCCAGCTTTCCCAGGAATACCCTGCTGCTAAAGAGGTGTTAAGCAGGAAACCCACACTGGAGGATTTAATTTCTCCCGTTTAACTTCCGACCTGAGTTTCCCATGAAGAGCAGGGAGGGCTGGGCCAGGATGAGCCCAGCCTGGGCTCCCCCTGCCACGGCTGCCAGCACTCACCACATCCTTGTTGTCGACATCCAGGGGGCTGCTCTCCGATGGAGACTTCTCCTTCTCACTCTGCTCTCCGTAGAAAAGCGACGTCAAACTTTGCAGTCAGTGGCGGAGCGGAGGGGTGAGGCAAGAGAGAAGCAGCAGATGGGAGAGGATGAGCACCCTCGGAGAAGCTTCTCCTAGGAGAGCTGCCCAGGAAATGCCTCCCCCCCCTCCCCGCATCCTGACTGAGGCTGGACCAGTGACTACCGCTGGGCTCAGGGAAGGGCCTGCACTCACTGCCTCTGCACCGATCAGTCCCTGTGGCTTCTCTGTGGCCCGGGCCCACAGCAGGGTGGCTGGTGGAGAATTGGCCTTGGCTCCAGGACAAGAGCCTGCTGAAACGGATTTTTATATTCCACTGGTTTCAGCCTTCAAATGGCATTTTGGTCTCCCCGGTGAAGCGACATATTGCCTGTCCATTGCCAGACTCAGCTCCAGAGCCTGAGCCCAAGAGGAGCTGGAGAGGGGAGAAGGCAGGAGAGGGGCTTTTCCAACATTTCCTCCTGCAAAGAAAGATGCTCTGCTGCCTGGGGTGAACCATGCTCTGGCAGCCACGCAGCTGCAGGCAGCACAGCCTACCTGGAAATCTGGTCCGGGCTCTGTTTTCACCAGGACACTGGTATTTTGGGGGGATTCTGCACCTAGCCCAAAGGATGGGCCAGGCAAGCTGCTCTGCTGACATGAGGAACAGTGTTATTGCTGCATGTCTCCCTCTGCCTCCTCCGCTGGCCAGCCCTGCTCATCCCAAGAGCGGCACGGGGAGAGGCGGCATCTCAGTCCCCACCCGAAAGCAGCTCTTGGGCCTCTGTCCTTCCCAGGATGGTGCCCTCTCTGGCACCGAGAGCACCATCACCAGATGGTGCCTGTAAGAGGGAATCAAAGCTGGCTTGGGCTTTCCTTCTCCCTGCAGCAGGTGGTGCCTGTGCCTCCATGGGCAAGGGCAGCCAGGCCATTCCTAGTGGGAAGGAGGGACAGGAACACCTGCTGAGCTTCTCCATGGGCCACACCACAGTGCTGGCCCTCCTGTCAGCCCTCTTGGAGAGGCTGGAGCCATCATCTGCGGTGGCCTCACGTCCTGCTCACCTATCATTGTCCATCAACAGTGCCAGGCGTCCATAGTCCCAAGCTGCTTTCCGAAGGCAGGAGAAGACCAGGAGGAGAAGCTGGAAGAAGAGGGAAGAGGAGAGATGAAGGGTTTTGTCGCAGGGTCTCACCCCATGGGGTCTCCCCACATCCCTCCTTTCTGTTTTCCCACTCATGAGCCCAAGCTCATGCAAAACTCTTGCCTGAAGCCAAACTGCTCCTGCTCCATGATCTCACCACTGCTGCCCAAGTGCCACATGCTGCCCACCATGATGTGGGCAAAGCTCTTGGTCCCCTGCACTTGCACCCATTCCCCCAAACAGCCAGGCAACCGGCATGCACACTGCACACACGTGTGGCTGTCAGCACACCCCTAACACACACACTCGTGCTTATAGCCAGTCTCTGACACCCCAGCCTGGGGCTGCGGTGCCCATGGACATGGCACCCTCCTGGCCCGCTCACCAGCCAGAGGATGAAGTTGATGGCAAGCACAGTGGGCACACCGCCAAACGGCAGCCCTTCCAGGACGGTGCTGCGGGAGCGGGCGCTGAAGCATTGCTCCTCCGTGCTGTTCACCAGGGCATCCAGGAAGCTGAGCACGTCCAGCGAGGTGGGGCCGGCACCACCAGGTGCTGGCTCCACCGAGTACATGCTCTCCATTGGTGCCGTCGTGGGGCCTCACCCTGCAACACAGGGGCAGGGGTGCGGACGGAGAAGGCTGTGCTTGAAAAGGGGCCGTGGCTCTTTCAGGTCCTCCAGCGAGGTCTGAGGAGCTCACTAAGGGCAGGGAGGGGAGAGGACTGGCTGGTGACCTTGGAGCTTCCCGAGTACCAGTCTCTCCCAGGGAGGGGCTGTGGGACACAGGTCAGGGGGTGTTGCTGAAGAAATCTCTCAGCTACCTCATACCCTTTCCCCACCCCATTAAACCCCATGCTATTTGGTTGTCTCCATCATACCTGAGACAGGTCTCTCACCACGTCTGCCCCTCAGTCCTGGAAGCTGGGTTGAGTCATGGCCACCTTGGTACGGTCAACAGGCAGGAATGAGGGGCTGAAGCATTTGCTTGAGTTTCTGAGAATAAGAGCAATGATCATGTTAACAACTGGGCTACTAGGGCTGTGCTTGCTTTGCTCCCCGCAGCCAGGTATCTACTGTGTGTGGAACTTCCCCGGCCCTCCCTTCTCCCCCAGCATCACAGTCTGTATGACTCAGGAGTTGTGGGACCTCCCTTCCATCTTTCCACCAGAGCAGGATTGCTCCTTCTGAGATATCTTGAAGTCTTCAGAAGAATCAGCTTCTCAAAACCCTAAATGCCAAGGTACCCCCCATTTCCTCAGGAGCTGATACCGCAGGCTACAGCCCTCACTGGTAGGAAACACTTAAAGGCCATTAATGGCCAAGACTGTGGCATGTTTCCAAAACCTTTCCTATGACTGTGCTTTAAGTAGGAGAGGATTCTCTCCGAACCTGCAGTGCCTGGGACCCCTGGGAACAAGCACCCTACAGCAGCCAGCATGAACTAACATGGCTGTCACTCATGGGGATGCCACAGACCCACATGCCAGGGCAGTGCTGCATGGCTATTGCACTCACTAGAACTATAGGAGGAGAAGGAACCAGCACAGCAAATGCTAACAAACATGGGGTGGGGACAACAGGGCCAGAGTCTCTCCTCCTCGCATGCCTGCCACGTCTTCGTGCCTTGGAGCCCCCGCCAGCACCATCAGGCAGCTGCTCCCAGGCCTGGAGAGATGCATGGCCTTCAGAGGAGGACAGCTCTGACTGTGGCGAGACCAACCACGTCACCAGGGTGAGAGGCACCCTGGGACAGCAGGGGGTCTTCCGGGTGTTCTCAGGACAGTCCCTTAACAGGTCATTGGGGAGTTTCTAAAATGGCAACCAGGTTGGGTCCCTAATGTCTCTTCTAAAAAGGCCCCGAGGTAGGATGTCTAGTACTTTTTAGGTAGATAAACCCAGAGGGCTGAAGACCCTGCTTGGTGGAAGACTGAGGTTACTAGGGTGGAGGGGAACAGATGGACAAGGAAACTTTGTCTTTGGAGGCCTTGAGCAACCAAATGTAATTTTGAAGTTGGCCCAGTCCTAGGCATGGACTTTTATCAGCTGACCTCCAAGGGGTCCCTTCCAACCTCAGTTATTCTATGTCCCTATTCTCAGGGACTTGTGCTGCTGACAAGAAGATCTGGCCTGCCTGAAGTTTATAAGGAGCTATGTGAGTGCCTTGCCCCACAGACATGCTGAGCACAGTATATTGTGGTCTGTGCAAAGGCCATGTGAAACCTCATTAACACATACTCCTGTGAGCTTCGTATTCAAGCCATTGGGCATTCATTCATCTCTTTCCTTTTTATCTATATTCCAGCCACAGCTGGGACCCTGCTGCAGCCCTGCAGTCACCCAGCCACAGCTGATCCCTGCTGCAGGATGCTCACAGCCCACATGGACAGGATGGAGGAAGAGGAGCAGGAGCCACGGTCTGATTAAGCAATGAAGGAGTATGCAAAGACAGCCAGCACCTCCAGGGACCTGGAGATGCAAAGTGTTTATGGTGGTTTTTTTCCCAAGACTAAACAGGATCAACTCTGCTTCAACACCAAAGGAAACCTGATTGAGGGGTCCTTGGGGAGCACAGAGTGAGCATGCACAAAATGCCTCGGCTTAGAAAGGGGATCTTCCTGAGCTCTACATGGATTTGCTTTTGTTGGGAAACATTTACTTCTGCTGTGTCAGCGTGACAGATGGGAGACTACAGCAGCACGTGGTTTTATGTGCACTGCTGTAGCCTCAGCCTCTCTCTCTCAGATCATGCATCTTCCTGCTTGAGGAGATTAGTCCTGTCCTAAAGCTCCTGAGGAGCCCAGACACCCCACTCTGTGGCTCAGCAGAGTGGGTAGGATGGGGGTGCTGGGGCAGGAGCTGACACAGATTACATGTCTGAGACACTGACTCTCTTTGACATCCTCATGTGGGGAAAGGAAAGACCGAAGAAGAGGGAGGCTTTCAAACACAGAGCTGACAAAAAAAAAAAAAACAAAAACCAGGCTCTGACAGCCTGACAAATGCAATCAGGTGGACACCAGGGATTCCCAAGGGATTCTCAACCCAAGATCTTGAGAGGGTTGAAGAGCTTAAGAACCAGTCTTGGTGCCTGCAGTTTCCAAATTAAACACAGAGAGATGGTCACTTGCTATTTTCTTCACTTCTGAAGCCTAAATTCCATCCCAAAGAAAAAATCTCCACTGGAAGCCAAAGAGTGGCTGGGATGCTTGGACCAAGGCTATGAGCCGAGCACAGCCTGAGGCTCACCCCACTCCAGGGTTAAGCTAGCATCTGGCTACCTGCATAGATGCCTCAAAGGGATGTCAGAAGCTGCTGAACTACAGGCATCAAGATCCCCAGGACATGCAGATTCATGGCAGTCCCTCTTATTGTGTATATGGTGCAGTGTCACCGGGGGCATGGGGCTTCAGTGTCTGCTACAGATCTGCTCATGCTGCCTACAGTTCTCCTCGGAGGTCCCTAGCCATATACATATTGATCTGGCCAGTCCATGGTGTCTGGAGACATCATAGCCCAAGCTGGCACGGTTGACCATTAGTGAGGCTCCCAAAAGAACTGCCAGGTCACCTGAGATATGCTGATACTGCTCCAAAGGGCATCCCAGTAGACTTGGGGCTGAAGTACCATCCCTCCAGCCAGGTGTGAAGTGAGGGATGGGCTGTCAAAGCCTCCCTGTAGTGCCCTCAGTCATGGCCTGCCTCCCAGCTGGGGTTGGGAGTCCCGTACTTCAAGGCCCAGCATGGGCCCACTGGGATAACAACCCCTGAAGAGGGAACTCCAAGGGAAGACCCATGGGAAACGAGTGGGCCACTGTGACAAGCAGCAGCCATTTGCCCCGGCCCGCCTGCCTCCTGCTCGCTGTCAGGTGGCTGTGAAACCACTGGAGCCACTGGGGCCTCTGGCCAGGGTTGGCCCTTTCCTACAGAGATGCTCTCAATCTGTTCTCTCCATGTGAATGTCTCCCTCCCTCCCTCCCCTCCTCCTGTAAGCAGTAGAGCCTTCGCCATCTGGCATTTTCAGCTGCTAAATAATTCACTGCCTTTTTGTTAACAAGGAGAGTGTGTGTCTGACCGAGGGAGCTGTTGGACCTTCAGCAAATAAACAAGGAGACTCTTAGCAACCTCTGAGTCCTTTCACTGCCACCACCACTCCACTACCCAGCGGTAAGATCCTGCAGCTTCTTTCTAGGCACTGTGTTCACGCTTGTAGGAGGAACATCCTGACGCAGGATGGCAGGATGAAGGGGATTGTCACGGGGATCAGTACGGGT